GTGGTGAGGAGTTGAGTGACCTTATCTCTCACTGAAGTCAGGTCTAAATTCAAGGCTTTTCACAAGCATCACATTAACATGAAAAAGTAACCATTTCCAGGTAGGAAAGAGATGGGTGATGGGAACAGTACAGAAGTCTCATCCACTAAATAAAGATAAATGATCAAATCACTTGATCATCACACAAAATCACACATAATCATCATCCAGCAGTAATCCCATGCTGTCTGTGACATCACTTCCAGATGATATGGGCCAACACAACCAGATTATGCAAGAACATAACAACTACATTTATCAGCAACTTCCCATCATGCCCACCTCATGTCCCATTATATCTGCTACATGACAAAGACCTCATGATAGATATTGGGAGGCGCCCTTATCCTGGATCAAGAAGCACCATAAGGATTCTGAAAAGCTCCTTCAGTTCTGTCATCTCTCCCTCCTTCTTCTTCACTGATGGCCTTTGCTGTACTTACCAGTACTTACTGGCGCAGTTAAAAAAATTACTTCAAAAATATAACTTGTGTATCCAGGTCTGTGAATGAATGCAATTACAGAGGTAAGGCAAACAGCATAGACCGTCTGATCTAGAGTTCACTGTAGACAATAATCCTGAATGGGACTTAGGTGCCTAAATCCCAGATTTAGGGGTTACTGCAATCCACAAAACATCCGTAGGCACCTAAACTTACGCAGTGCCTGAATTTTCAATGTAAAAATTCCCTAGTTGCCTAAATTTCTTCCTGAGGGCATGCACACTACTGTCATACAGATGCATGCATGCATGCATATCTCCCAACTGAGCTCCACTGCGATCCTAAAACCACATGTGAAGATATGGGTTGACCCAGCTAACTTGCCTGCATGGCCTTATCTGCTAGGGTGTTTTGAGCACAGCTAACTCCCCCAAGTAGGTAGCGTTCTCACCCAGGATGTGGGAGATGCCACTTTCAATTTCCCCCTCTACCTGATGACAAGATGGAATTTGAACTGGGGTCTCCCACCTCTCAGAGTGTCCCTAATCACTGGAGGATGGCATATTCTGATGTGACTCTGTCTCAACCTCTCTTTTTGAAGTCTTTAACTTTGTATTAATTAAATATTAGTCACTAAAGTCACCAGCTTCAATCAGGTACATGTGACTACAGCTGCCCACCTCAGAAATGCAGAGACATCTAAGGACTGATTTTTCAGGTGTGTACAATTTCCAAGGAAGTCAACAGTGACTACTTATGGTAATCACAGGTCTACACCCATTTGGAGTACACTCACTAAGCAGCTCTTCTGCTTTACGGTGGGCTTTGTATCTCCTTAACTGGCTGCATTTTAATAGGGACCTTTTTCCCCCAGAGGAGTTCATTATGATTAATGTTTTATCAGTGAATTCCAAAGAAATTAACAGTGATTTGCCACTTACTGCAAAGTGTTACTGATCATTCTGGTGGAACGCGCTACCTGGGCATTTAAACATCTCCTGATATTTTTATTTAAGAAATAAGGAGATACAAGACTCATTAAAATCCCACAGTACAACTTTCACCTCCAGAAATGGATAAAGGTTAAAAAAGCATCTTTACAAACATGCATTTGTGTGCAGAGTTTTCTACTACATGGAAGAAAAATCAACACCAATTTTAAAAGTGCTCTGAGCTCATTTAGGAGCAGTAGGTTTTGAACAGACTGGTATGGTAGCCAGAGTATTCTGCTAAGCATCCTTAACTCAGACGGGAGACAAGGGTGTCTGTATATCACAGGAGGGATTTAGGCCCAGATCCTCAAAGGTATTTAGGTGCCTAACTCCTATTGAAATGAATTAAAGTTAGGCAGGGCTGTCCCTAGGAGGGTGCGGGGCCTGGGACATAGGTGGCGAGTTTCTAAACTGCCGGGGGGGGGGGTACTCAGGCCCCCCCCCTTCCACCCTTTTCCCCAAGCCCCCCCCCGCTTCTATCCCCACTCCGCCCAGTCCCTTCCCGTCCCTTCCCCACCCAGTTCTGCCCCCTCCCCTGAGCGCGCTGTACCCTCGCTCCTCCCTCCTCCCCCCCAGCACCTCCTGATGCCACGAAACATGTGATCCGCGGCAGGTGGGAGGCCCAGCGAGGGAGGGGGAGGTGCTGATCGGCGGGGCCCGCTGACAGGCAGGAGGTGCTGGGGGAATCTAAGTTATGCAACTCCAGCTACGTGTATAACGTAGCTGGATTCGACGTAGCTGAGGTCAACTTACTGCGCTCTCCTGTTGACTTCCCTTCCTCTTCTCATTCCAGTGGAGTACGGGAGTCAATGGGAGAGTGATCTGCAGTTGATTTAGCGGGTCTTCACTAGACCCACTAAATCTACCCCCAGTACATCGATTGCCGCAGTGTGAATCCCCGGAAACTGTAGACATACCCTTAGAGAACTCCACTGTCAACATTTTGAATATCAGTCTTATAAAACTGCCATGGAAACATACTAGCCCAGCCACATTTATTCTGCCACCTCCCTTTGTCAACATCAGTTGTGTGGAGGTGGCAGCTTGACAGAGATTGCAGACTCGCATAATAAATTGCCGACGTGATAAAGTGCATTTATCATACGTGTCTCCCTGTCTCATCTGGCTCTGCCCAGCAATCCATCTCCACTGGAAGACCTTGTAACATTCCAAACCTCTAAGCAGCTTTAAATATCTGCCATTAAAAAAAAAAATACCTTGCTAGAGGAATGTTTCCTTCTTACTTTTCCAGAAGTGGAGCTTCTCTCCCAACATTACACCTGCCAAAGATAAGGGATGAATGATATTTGGTCCTACATGAATAAATGATTTAATGTCCTCCTTTTTTTTTCCTCCAGAAATATGACTTCATAACATTTCATTTATATCATTGGAAAGATAGGCTTCCCAACTTCATAATAATGGCGCTGCCTTCTAGATTTTCACGTTTCTGGACATTGAAACAACGACATTTATGCATTGAAAACTATATCTCAGCAAACTACTGTATATAGTTTGACTCATTGTTACTCAGCCAATGCTTATGGGTGGAGGGGTACCAAAAAATCCCAACAATAAACATTCCCTCTCTAAAACATTTCTATAGTAATTCTTTTCTGTAAAATATGTGGCATACAGAATACATGAAGGTGCCAATCAAGCCAATAAAAGATTTATATCACACTATTAAGTATTCTTTTGCTTTCCATTCTCTTCTATACACTTGACTGGTGATTTTAGTGCCCAACTTCATACACCTTAAAATGGTCTGATTTTGAGAAAATTTTGAACACCAGTGCTCTTATAAAATCACTAGTCAATAATGAAAATCTTGCCCTCCCATCCAAACTCCCTCACAGTAGGCCTGATTCTTCATTACTCTGTATTTTGTATTGACATTTACACTAGTGCGAAATGGATGTGAAATGTTACCATTATGATTTTGCAGCACTTTTTCACCTTGATTTGATGTAAACGACTACATAATCACTTAAATCTAGCTTTATAGTTAATAAATCTGTTTGTTTATTGTACCTGAAGAGGTGCATTTGGTTTGCAGTGTCTCAGGAACTCCCCTTGGGAGAACAAGCCTGGTACATATCGATTTCTTTGTTAAATTGACAAACTTATATAAGCTTTGTGATAAACTCAGGACAGACAGCTGCAAGGGCAGGGTGGAAAACAGTCCCAGAAGGGTAAAAGGCCCTCCTCCCCATCAACTGAGGAGGGGTGACTACAGGTCCATCAGGTTCAGCTGAGATGGGGTTACCAGAGATCAGTTAGGATCAACTGAGAGGGAGTTACCTGAGGGCAATTAGGATCAGCTGATTCCAACTAAAGGCTGCATCCTTAACTCATACAGGAGAGTTAAACCCTCCGCTGTTGGGGAGAGGGGGAGTGCGGAAGTCAAGCTGCCAGTAGGTGAGGAGCAGCAAGACAGCAGGCCTCCCCAGGAGGGGAGGCTGCATTCCCTCCCCTAAGGGAGAAAAACAAGCCTAAAAGATTGGCTGAGAGAAGGAGCGGACTGCCCTTGTGCAGCCAAGAGGGACTACTTTATCCCCAAGCCCATCTTGCCTAGGCTAAAAACAGCTGAGGCTGGTGAGACTGAGAAGGCCCTGTGATGGGTTGGATCACAGAAACCGCCTTGGGAACTGCCAGCTGATGTGCCAAGACGACTTCTGCCCCTGCTTTCCTGTCCTGGCAGCTTAGGGCTTCCGTGCCCTGCTCGGTTTGAGCCAGACCCTGCTAGCCTGCTGCAGACCCAGACCCAGGTCTGAATGACATCCCCTAACAGCTGTAGTCTCAATTGAAAGCAGCTTACAAAAGTGTTCCTGTCTTTAACACTCAGATGCCCAACTCCCAATGGGGTCCAAACCCCAAATAAATCCATTTTACCCTGTATAAAGCTTTTCCGCCCTACTGTTCCTCACATGTTCTTATCAACTACTGGAAATGGCCCACCTTGATTATCACTTCAAAAGGTTTTTTTTCTCTCCTACTGGTAATAGGATCACCTTACCTGATCACTCTCATTACAGTGTGTATGGTAACACCCATTGTTTCATGTTCTCTGTATATATAAAATCTTCCTACTGTATTTTCCATTGCATTCATCTGATGAAGTGAGCTGCAGCTCACGAAAGTTTATACTCAAATAAATTTGTTAGTCTCTAAGGTGCCACAAGTACTCCTGTTCTTTTTATAAGGTGCAGAGTGACAGAGAATCAGGATCGGTATATCTGCCAGGATTTTTATGAAGTCTCTAGTTTAGTAATATGTTTAAACTGATCAACCTTTCCCCCTTTAAGCTGAAAAGCTTTCATTTCACTGCCGATTGTTTTCCAAAAATAAAATCCTTCAGCTTTATCGTTTTCTTATAAGAAATAACTAGCCGATGACAGATACATTTAAATGAGGAATCTGAAGTGCATAGTTACAACCAGATTCAAAATCTGAAATGAACATTATTAATCACAAAATTGACTTGCATAATCAGCAAAGTTAGAAAAACACAAGCAGTGCAGTCTTGTCCTCAGAACAAGTTTTTATTAACATTTTGCTTTAACAAACATTGTAGTATGAAGGCATCATTAGTTTAAGTTTTCAGATGTATGGCACAGACAAAGGAAAAAACAACAGATTCATAAGGAAATTCAGCATGTAAATCTCAGATTAACAAAAAAGACGTGTTAACCTATTTAGCCACTATACCATATATTGTGCAAGCAACAGACTACATTTATTTGCATTTAAGTAAAAACATATTTTTGATCAAGAAAATTACATTTTTCTGACTTTCCTTTATATCACAAATGTCAGGGTAAGGCAAATCCTTGATGAATCGTATGATAAAAACCCCTATTCCCCAAGAAAATATATCCAACATATTCTGCTAACTTTGTAATTTTAAAAGCAAAGCAGACATGCACTGCATATAGAGAAATATCTTTTTCAATCAAATGCATAAAGCAGAACAGTGTTAATTCACAAACAGGCTTTTCAGCGCGCCATAGAAAGATTTACAATTAGCTGTAGTGAATAATATGTGACCCGATATTACAGACAGTGTCTCAGACATCTCCTTTGTAAGCCTGTAGGAAAGGAAACTTGTCCGTCATCAGAGCAATCGCTAGCTGCAGGAAAAATAGATTGATGCTCCTAATTGTAGAATAAGCACTTTTTCAATTGGAACAGTGAAAGCATATTCTAATATTTGGATGCAAACACCACTAATTTAGGGGTTCTATTTTCTATACAGAACATACTGTGATAAAAATTTTAGTTGTTAACCAAAACTCCTGTTATAGTGGCATTAATCTATTTCTGATATTTATTCTTCTACAGAGCCAACTCTCTACTTCTGTAGCTCCAGCAAAATCAAAGGTGGCTGCATTCAGGGTGCAACCAGTCCAGCAATAACCAAAGAGCTCAGAATCAAATTGCCTAACTGTGCGTACATCGTTTTATTAATGTTTTTCATTAAAAAATCCTAAACAGATGCAACCCCAAAGCCACATTGACAAAAAAGCAAGGAAATCAAGCTACACACTCATGACTGAAAATTGGACTGTTAAGATTTAATCAACTCATACATTTTCTTACTCTACACTTCCTGCCTGTGCTTCACACTTGCTGCAGAGTCCTCAGGCAAAAGTTTCACAGCTTCAAAGAATCTCTGCTGTTAAAGAGAACCAAGGTTAAACGAGGGTAGCAATGAAATTACTGTCACTGGTTATAAGGAGTCTCTAACCTGAAGTATTTGTGGAGTTAATTATTTTTAATATCAGTCAGTACTGCCAAGGAGTTTAAGGATTGTCTTGTCTCTCTGTATATTTTTGAACACCCCTCTTTAATCAGTCTCTCGCATTGATCTTCCTTGTCTGCTCCTTGCTGAGCCTGAATCTCACTAACATTGAGGATACTCAGCTAGCAGCAGCCTGCAGTTCTCTAGCGTTGTACGTGGAAGACTGTGAAAATCATACATGTACAACTTCAGAATTAAACACATAGGACCAGATCCATGCCTTGTGGATATTGCCCTACCTCAGCCCCACTCAGTGGAGCTGTGACAATTTAAAACTGAAAATCTGGCCCACACAGTTTCCCACCACGCTTTAGAACGCTTACACCAATTGACTTTCCAAATGCTTTATGGAGGAGTTTCCCTAGCTCTACAAACAAAGGGAGCCCTTCAATCTTTGCCTTTTTAAAGAGGACACACACAAATGGAGGATTAACATTATTGTTACCCAGTACATTTATTTTTTCCCTCAGAAACGGTATCGGTTCTATTATGACAGGCTATTTAAAGAGAAATCATTTGATAATGAAACATACTGTATGTGCATCATGCAGATACACAAGCTGCTGGTCCTTTGACTGCTGCAATTGGAATCAGCCAGAAACAAATGTAGGGACAGAAGGAAAATAACATTCAGGGGTGTGGTCCCGAAGATACCTTCGGTCAAGCTAACAGGAATGGAAAAGGAGAGAGGCATAGAAGCGTCTAAGGGTAGGGGAAGGGATGTCCAAAATGCATTCTGACCCCACGTAGTAAGTATGGTATAATCCTGGCACTGTTTTAACAGGCACTAACAGGATTAATTACATCTGAAACCTAGTTTCTTTCAAAGCTGATCATGCTCAAAAAGAAATATCTACTAGCCTCCAAACAGAAATCCAAAAGCCTTGGAAGCCCCCACCCCATGTTCCCTAACAATGCCACAGGAAGTGACTGCAGACAATGCCCTCCTCCCCCTTGGGGTCATCAAGCGGCTCCAATGCTAGAGGCACATAAAATCAGCTCATTGGAAGATGTCAGGCACTCCTAGTGGCCACACTCCCAGAGACAAATCTGCAGGTCTTGTTTTAGATCCCGGTTTGTCCCGTCATTATTTCCGATCAACCTGCAAATGCCAGCAGCCGTCAAACTGTTTATATACATACAGGGCTCACAGTTATATCAGTGTGAACTTGGCACAAATCCATTGATCAGAATAGGGCCAATACATTTCAGTCTCCTCTCAACTTTTTTTTTTTTTTTTTTTTTTTTGCGTGCCAGTCAGTCATCATTTCAGGATTGGGGGAAAGAGCGTACATATTCAAGCAAAACCAGAATCTCGGAATGTTTAAAAAAAAAAAAAGCTCTAGTTGTTTTTAACACCATTATATTTTGCAGAACATCAGACCCTGGACACATGCTGTGTGCTCCTTCAGTCTCGTGTATCAATTAAATTTACAGTACTGTTGAAAAAATGTACATAAGCCCTCTTTTCTGAATGCAGCACTTGCTGGCAGAACAAATGACATATGGTAAAACATTCTTAACGAAATAACTGTTAATTGCATTTTTAAAAATCATGCATATGCAGTAGAAAATATAATGAGGGCTGACACAAGGTACAGTGAAGTTGTTAAAGCCATAAACTATATTTAAAGATGTGCTGGATGCAGAATGCCTGTTATCCTCCATTACTCACAGGCTGTGCAAAGTATTAGTTGCCCACAGGTACTTTAAGTACCCACTTAAAATAATTATTTACTTTTAGAAGTGCAAATTCACTAGAAGAGAACAGAATCGATGCACTAACTGCATTACTTTGCATCACATGCTGTGCTATGACCAGAAGATTTAGATAGATCAGCAATGGGCAACAGACGTCTCCATTCTCCCAGTGAGCAATACAGCAATAAGACATCCTGAAGCATCCAGATTTCCAAGTTTATAGTGTGAAGCTTAGGTTGGATTCTACTGTGCACTAGGAAACACTCCTTCTAGCTCTTTTACTATCTCCATAGTGGCAGGGGTCATTGTTCTAAAAGCTCTAAATATTTTGCACTGGTACTTGCAGTCAGGAATTCCTGACTGATGTTGCTGGAGTTGGGCACTGTGCTATAACTTCACTATTAATACAGGGATTGTTTGGAACAGCTGTTCTTAAAATTCCTAAGATACACAGTGTTCTGTGATTTATGATGCTTTGTGGCAGTCCACATCCTCAAGCCAAAGCCCCAAATTTATCCCAGAGAATCCAAAAAAATCCCATTCCCACCAGTTGCTTGGATGATGTGCCCTCATTGGGAAATGAGATTCAGAGGCTAGTGATAGAGTGTATGTGTGTGTGTTGGGGGGGGGGGGGGGAGAATAAGCATCTCCAATATTACCCAGGACCTAGAAGTTGCTGTAACTGCCAGGACAATGCAAAACATTGCTTGAAGTGGGACATCATGACCAAAGTAGGGAAGCTTTTTTTTCTTTTAAAACAGGTTTACAGAACAAAATGCAATTGAGAATTAAGAGGAATTAAAACAAACATTCATTTTCCCTTATCTCCCTTCCCCTCCCATCCCATGGGGCACCTTCCGATGCGCTTTCTGCCGATAGTTAGAATGATGCCATACAATGCTAATGACTGCCGTTCACGTTTCACCCCATTGTTCTCTTCTCTCATATTGTTCTTCTGTGATAGGGAGAAAAAAACTGATATAGTTCATTTAATCAAAATCAAAAGTTTTCAGGGACCCAAATGGCTAGCTGGGTCTTTTTAATACAGTTTCCTCATGTCTCTGTTGCCAAACACACGTGCAAAATATGGGAGGCATGTAACAGCAGTAAAATAAGACACTATTATTTCTATAGCATCACATGTGTGGACAGTACTTTATAAACATATAGGCAAGCAAGGTGCCATGGAAGTATTTGATAACACAGTCCTCAAACAGGGCTAAAATAAAGAGGCATGAAGCAGCTGTGATTTTGGCACTAGCAACAACAAAGTGGGCAGGAATCAACTACGGTGATGTTATGGCTGTATGCATTAATGGTGCTGATGGCTGGCATTATTGTGTAATAGTGATTAGAAACTCAAAAATTCCATAGATTTCAAGGCTATAAGGGACCCTGGTGCTCATCTAGTCTGATATCCTGTATAGTAATGGCCACAGAACTCCTCCCAAATAATTCCTAGAGCATATTTTTTGTTTTTTAAAAACGAAATGCTGAATAATGTGTCTTATGTTTGTTGACATCAAGGGCATAGTAATCATGCAAGAGTTCTTAGGGATTTTTGATATGCATTTTGGGAATAGTGTATAGAACGCTCTTAAAATAACAGTAAACCACTGTCCCAAAGATATCTGCTTGGTCCTAAAGACCCTAGAGAGTTCAGAGCCTTTAAAGTTTAACAAGATGATCGATTTTTCACTGTGTGGACCTGGCTGCTTGCAATCAAGCAGAGCGGCAGTATGGTTTGGGGGACTGAGCAAACAGCTGAACGTAATTCATGCCTTAGTTTTAATCCTGGATCTGTCATTGAAATACTACAGAGACTGGGCAAGTCACTTCACCCCTCCGGCTCAGTTTTCGTCTCTGTAAAATGGGAGCAGTACTGCAGTACCTCACACTGGAATTGAGAAAATTAATTAGTTGAATGCTAAATATTGTATTATTAATGCAAGCTTCACTTTCATAGAGCAGAGTTTAAATGATCTCATCCCAAAACATATGCATGTACTAATTTTAGTGAGAAAACAATGTATGAAAGACAAATTTCTTTCCATTTATGTGAAAGCAGTTATAACTGATAAATATATTTTTAAAATCAATGACGGTATTAACCTTTTAATCTATTTTTAAATGGCAAGCATTTTAACAGAATGCATAATCAGAAGCTAAGAAAAGGTGAAAAAGAAAGGGAGAACTGCAGAAGTAATCCTTAAGATGTTTTTTATTTTTGCTTCACTACTTTTCAATGGGGATCCATCAGCCATATTTCTCTCTCTCATGCAGTATGGCAGCATATTGTCAACATACTGACAAGGACAAAGGGATATACACTGTAATAAGACCTTGCTTTTTAAATCTCTGTGACAAAGCTGCTGCTGTTGTAAAGCTTCTATGTTTGGTCTTGAGCTACATGAAATCCCATTACGAGCATAAATAACACATCTTGCTATATATGATATTAGAATCTTATAATAGCCCTATACAGGGGGAGAGGTGTGTAGTAATGCTTTGAAACTGCATATCTTCAGCAGGGATCAACATTTTCTTTTGTAATTGGGGTGTGCCAGGGACTTTTTATCTCTAGCAGATTACTCATTTTTATTGAGGAGTCAGACTGTTTATTGTCTGTGAACATAACTATTCGTTTCCATTTCTGCTGCAATAACAATTGTGCACTTGTGCAATGGCACCATCATTCAGTATATAAAGCAGTAAAGCTCAAAAAGGCAGCCAACTGACTTCAGCCTTGTTTTACAGGAGTCTAGTTAGAAGTGACATTAGGCATTGTAGAGCCAAGGGCATAAAAGCCTCATGACACAAACCTGTTGTTCCCAGAATACAGATTTCAGAGAACTGAACTTAATTCCAATTAGTATAAATTGCTTTTCATTTTCCTAAGCAATGACAAAAAAACATTCACTCAGTTACTTTTCCATTGCTAATATTGTTGCTATCCGGGTTCTGTTGATCTAAGACCATACACAGTCTAAATACATTACAGTTGCAGAATGCTATTATATTATTTATGTGACAATTAATGTCACATAATTAATACTTTCCCCCATTTTGCTTTTTCTAATTCTGTATATTCTAATTAAGGTGACCAGATAGCAAGTGTGAAAAATCGGGACACTTTTGGGAGGGGGGGATGGGGGGGGAAGGGTGGTGGTGTAATAGTTGCCTCTGTAAGACAAAGTTCCGAATATCGGGATGGTCCTGATAGTATCAGGATATCTGGTCACCCCAATTTTAATCATAGTATTTAGATCTGTTGTAATAATTGGGCCTAAACATGAGATCAACTGTAAAAATATGCAAAAATTCATAACATGTCACAATAATCTATTATAATAAACATTGATGGGAAAAGGTATGAAAAGGAGACAGAAAAACTAAATGAAAGGACCTAATGATGCAGTTAAAGGATTATGTTAAAATCATTCTTAGTAAAAACAGAAGATGTGGAACTGGAAATTAACGCACCAAATTGTGTGAGTCTAATATTAGCCTAATTGGCGGACAAAATAATGAGCACCTGAGCTGTTCCATCCACCACTCCCTTTCTGGGTCCTGAAAGAAAGAGACTTTGTGGGCAGAATATGGAAGAAGAGAGAGAGGCTGCTGGAACAGCTTTGCCATCATGGTTGCCACCCCACTGGGTAGCACACTGGACCTTTTTCATCCTAATCCTGAGGGATGTCCTGACCAGACCAGGCCAGAGAGATGGACCCACATGATATTACCCTCCCTACCAGCTCCAGCTGAATCCCAACTACCTCCTGGGATGAAACAGGACTGGACTTTAACAGCAGTAACTCCAGCTCATCTCAATAAACATCTGCTCTTTTCCCCAGTAAGACCATTATTGCCATTTTTGATATCATCTAAGGGACTGTCAAACAAAGGTGTGTGTGTTTCTTTCTAAAAATTCTCTCCAGCTAAAGGAACACGAAATCTTGTTAAAATGAAAGCCTTATGTAATGCTTTGCATTTCAAATGCTTTAACTGTTTTTCCTTCTTTTCTGTATCTTTAGTAAAAGGTTAAAAGGGTGTTTAATGGTGTGTCTGCTATGGTACTAAGCAGGCTGAGGTCTCTGTCCACCAAATCCCAGACCTTGTTTAACACTGTTTAATGTTAGACAGTGATTGGGTCATGTTTACACCTTTGGGCCATTAATACAACAGATCTTTTTTTCCAAACAGAATCTGCATGGATATGCATACTTGCAGTGAAACACTGGTCGTAGGAGACTTACCTATTTGTTAATCTTCCGGCTGCATTTCTGAAAGTTCATTTATACTTTCAACCTGACTATTCATTTCAGCTGAAAACAAAACAATAAGGTTGTCAAACTTCAGTCAAGTTCATCCTGGCAAGTAATAGTTGCTCCTAACCTAAGTGAATAGAGCACTAAAATGTCTTTGCTGTAAGTCTTTGTAGCTTTCTCTTATATAAGATCTTAACGGTTTCCTTATTTAATGTAGATTATGAACAGTTCTGTAATAAGATACACATCAAAATTATTAGAGAACCTCTGAATCTAGATTTCCCCCAGACTTTTGGTTAGATCTGAATTTTCTCAAAGTCTTTATAATAGCCCAAACAAAAATCTTGGATTTGAACACCTTAAACTTTGGGAAAAGTTTGGGTCTGGATTCTGACCTGAACTTCAGAATTTGGACCCATCACTAATTACATCGCAATTAAATGCTGATCTCACATTTTTTAATGGTTTAAATAGTGTAACATTAAATAATAAAAAAGCATCACACGCTTTTCATTAAATATCAAAAACAAGGTATAATTCAAAAGGAAGGCTGTCTCACTCTCTGTATAGTGCCAAAGGAATCACAGAACATATGGCACAGGAGATTTGTTCATGAGGTCCTAGCTATGCCTAAATAAAACGGGATGATTTCAGTGTGCACTCTCAGCCTTTGTTCTGAACTGCTTTATTTTTGTGGGTTTTAACAAGACTCTTTATGGTAAACCCATTTTTGTCATTTATTTTTAAGGTAGTATTTAAGTGTTTGGTATGGGCATTTTTGTGCATCCATTGCTGACAGTTGGAGTCTCTTGGGAAAACCGTAGCATCCAAATGAAAGTTTTGAAAACTGAGCAAAAAGGAAAAAATGCCCTGTTTCAGTGTTGCGGGGTGTGAAGCTCCTTCTGACTCAATATCATGTCAATACACCTGGTCGGGTTTTGATGAGTTATTTGTGAATGATTCATCATGCATATTCAGAGCAGACGCGGTAATAGCTCCTGTGGTGTAAGGAATGAATGTGTAATAGGAAAAGTATCCACTCCAGATTATGGAGAAATGATGGAACATGTGTTTAGCTATGGTTTGTGGATTACTCTTAATAGGCTTTTGCATAGCAGAAATGGAATGCACAATCAAAACCCATTAAGGAAAGGAGCCATTGTGCGTGTGCAGTAGCAGCTTTTTCAAAACCTCAAAATGTCAGCCAATTTAATGTGCTTGTTTTCCTGAGAATACCAAAAGACCTAGTTCATACGCTAGACTAATTACTTGTGAAATTTAATTTAATTCATTTCATTTTTAATTAAATGGATGTTTAGTTATATCAGACCAAAGCATCAAAACCCGGTAAGCCTGCCTTCATTTTTATTCCTGTGACAAGCAGCCAATCATCTCCCTGTGGACTGTGCAATCCTGCTCAGATGTGTGTGTGGGGGGGGTGGGGTGGGTGGGTGCTGGGGGTGCTGATGGGGAGATATACTTCACATTTCTCAGCAACCTCTTTGGGCGATTACGGAGCAGCACTGCAGGCTTTAGAGTAACAGCCGTGTTAGTCTGTATTCGCAAAAAGAAAAGGAGTACTTGTGGCACCTTAGAGACTAACCAATTTATTTGAGCATGAGCTTTCGTGAGCTACAGCTCACTTCATCGGATGCATGAAGTGAGCTGTAGCTCACGAAAGCTCATGCTCAAATAAATTGGTTAGTTTCTAAGGTGCCACAAGTACTCCTTTTCTTCTTACTGCAGGCTTTGACGACAGTCCCATCCCATCCTCCTAGAGCTAGACTGAAGGTTGCAACAAGGACTCAAGGATTACAGTGCAGAACAGGGGAGCTCCACAGGACTTCGCTTGGGGTGCAGAATACCCACCAGTGAGAAAAACAAAGCCCTGCATGGACACAGTTCAGAAACTGTGTAAATTAATTTCACTCCAGGCAGAAATCTTGACTGGAGGTTCTCTGCCAGAAGTGGACTTTGTCAATCCCCTGGACAAAGAGGTTGCAGTGGATATGCAAATGCAAGAGCAAGTCCTGAGAAGTGCTAAGCACCTGTAAATCTCATTGAAGTCTGTTCCTGAAGTGGGGCTAGTACACCCTGCTGTAAGAGCAAGAGTGCTATCCCAGTTCCCTTGAAGTTACTGGGAATTTTGCCATGGACTTCAATAGGGCCAGGATTTCACCCAGGGTTGGAGAGCTTCTAAAACAATCAATGGGTCATACTACAGTAACATAACCTTACAAGTGTCACGGAGGGGATAGGTTAAGGGCCTAGGGTGTTTTGTTCTACATACCAAAAGGAGCACCTTGTAAGTCTGAGGCTCAGCCTCACAGGGCAGGTTGAGAATTTCACTGAGGTTGAACATAAATTCAGTGAACATCAAATGGGAAAGGGATTTTTAAAAAAAATGAAGATGGGAATTTCCCTACAATGTTTCTCTGTACAGAGTCTCCAAAATTGTCCCTTTAAATTTTTGTGGTTTTGGATCACTCCTCTGAGTCACTAACACTTCTCCCCTCAGCAGTGGGCTCCTTTGTGGCTCTCAACCTTACTAGAGAAAGATTTTCCCATAGCTGGAGAAGTGAATGCATTCCCAGTCAGAGGAGAGAGGGAAAGCTTCGGAATAACCAAGCATATGGCCCATATTACGGAAAGCACGACAGCCGCCATTGGCTATGCTAGTGTGCCTCGGAGGTGGGGCATCCTCTCACAAGCAATGAAACTATTTGCTATAGGGCAACTAGTCAGGAGTGGCAGTTGATAATCTAAATAGAGAAGATGGATAAAAGGGGAAGAAGAGAAACCTCTTGGTGGTGGTCGTTTTTTCCCCGAAAGATTTGTGTGTGTGTTATATTCCCAGATTACCAATGAAAGAAAGGTGTTGAATTAAGCCAATAATTGCAAACATCATTAGTTTCTTCAGATATTTTCTAATAAATATTTAATCCTTTTTATATAGTTTTATTTATATTCCCAGATTATTAAGGAAGGAGTGCATTTATTTATGGTCAGAGTAAGGTTGTGTTGTGACAAAATATTCATTTCTTTCTTTTTACTTGAGAGTATCTTGCTTATGTTCTTTATATGGATGGTGTAAAATTTGTGATGTTGTTAACTGTTTATTTCCTTGCTTTTAATTGCATGGCTTTTGCAAATGATGTGACCAGGAAATTGAAACAAAACTGAAACTTTGAAACAAAGTTGTTGGTTTTGGAATTTCCTAAGGTATCTTTTCATCTTTCTCTTATTCCTATTGTGTCAGTAAATCAAGATGCAGGTTTGTTTGTTTGTTTTTAAAAACTGAAATAAAAGGAATGGAATGGTCACCACATTATTAAAGCAGTGAAAAGAGTGAGCAAGCTAATAATGGCTGGAAACCAACATCCATATTCTCTTAGTAAACTGTTGAAAATGGCCCTTTGGATGAGCCAATATTGAATATTTAGATCTGTATATCTAAAATATCAGCATTTATAAAGCACTTATCACTGTGGAATTGTACCTGAAATTGCAAAACCCAAGAGCTGGGATGCCTGGGGGTAGCTACTAAAATCTTTATATGTTTTGAATTTTATAATGGGATAAGAAATGTTAGAGACAGTTCACAATATTTTTTTTTAAAAAAGGAGCCATTTTCACACACACACACCTTAGATAAGGCATCTCTACTAGTTCTATGTATTTAGTCAGCATGCTAGATTTGTGTTATGTGATATTAAAACACCAAACAACCATACCATCATTACTTGAAATGTTTTCTGTGTCACATGGATTTTCAACTGTCATTGCCTCTGCAGATAGCTTCCCTTTCCCTTGTGCTGCTCCTAGAAAAACGCGAAAGGAGAGAAAACATGTACACTATCTGATTTATGTATAATTCTCAGATTCAATGTGTGCATTTATTTTGATAATCCACTGATATGCTCTTAGCTATATAGACTCTGACGTTCCGTAGTGGCAGCCATTAAAGAAAAGGGCACAGGATGTAGGCTGAGGACGTGGTTTAAAGGAATTGCTTAAAAGTCTACATAGATCTGTGCTCTTTTTTTAAAGTGGGATTGTTAAAACCACATCATAATGTGTGATTTTGCCTCCCTGCCATTCTTTTCTGATCATTTTTGAAGAATCCCTTCTGTTCATAAAATGCATTGTGGATGTGGACCTAATCAGACATTTAAGGTTTCTCTATCTAGCAGAGCAAAAATAGATACACTAAGAGTTCATACACACTGAATAGTCATACACAACCTAGAATTGAAATGTATGAAAATGTATTTTATGGCTGGAACTCAACTTTTTTCTCTCTTCTGCCTCAGGCTTGTCTGGAAGCTCAGATTCAATCTCCTAGCAATATTATAAATGAAAAACATAGAAGAATTGCTTATGTTATTCCATTCATAGCTCTCTCCAAATTCTACCAGTTAGTATTGCTGAGAGACCAATTTTTAGTTAATTTCCATTATGGCACTTTGGTATTTGGTGGCAACTATAAAGCTCATCATACCTACCCTGCGACTAAGCTACAAGATTTCAAATGATTGGTTGCTAAGCAATTGAGAGAATTTGGTAGTTATTCTGAGATAGCAAAGTGTACTGAACATTGAAACATTTGAAAATGGAACACGTTTAAGTGGGAACAATTTATCTCTTCAACAACAGAGACAGAGACAGCATTCTAGAGTCATATAAACAGCAGTCTCCTCACCCTTTTGATAGAAGTCTAGGGAGGTTTAGTTTGTTTGTTTGGTTTTTTTTGTATTTATGAGCTTTGAGGTTATATGTTTATTCTGTCCAGAGACATGTATGTACAACTATGGCTGCTTCAATGAATTTGCTTTGCCATGGTACCTGCCAGAGAAAATGCACTGTGATGAAGATTTTATTTTCCTCTGCAATGCCTGCGGTGACAATGTTAATCTTTTAAGTAGCCTTAATTGCACTATTTATGGTGGTACTGTGAATAAACACAAAAGCAGCAACCAATGAAGCAGAGAATACAAAACAAGAAAACATAACCAAGAAGCAGCTTGACAGGATAGACTCAATTAGTCATTTGGATGGGGAAACAGGCAGCATCTAAGTGTCCATGTCTGAGCTGTCACCAACTACTTTGGTAGAATCCTTGACTTAAAAATCCTTCAGTGAACCATAATTTTAGCAGTTCTTCCTCCTTCATAGTTGTGTAAGTTAGTCCCGTCCTAGATGAATGAAATGCCTGTAAACATCTGTGAGTTTATAGTTTGCATGTCAGTGAAGTCCTGAAGTGACAAGTTTGTGTGCATGTTAAAACGTCAAGACTTCTCCTGAGAATTCTAGATAGCAAATAAAGTTTTCCCCTGGAGGTTTGTTATACACCAGTGAGCCTAAACTTTCCACGCACTTCACCCATCTCTGTCTTTGACTCTCATGAAGGACAAAACCATGTCATTCTGATGTTGAGGCATACCCATATTTTGCCAGGAATTTCTCAAGTGCAAGACTGAAGGTGCACATTCAAAGTCACTAACCAATTTCTTCCGACAAAATCAGTGTGAAATTTGGATTAGCATGAAAACACTGTTTGATCAATGAGGATACACTGAATGGTCTTATCAGGGTCTTGCTACATTTTTGAACGGCTTATAGAAAGGGCTACTTAAAAAACAAAAACTCAGAAAAGCAATCATTCTGCAGTCAAAGCATCAGGGAGAGATTTCAGATGTTTCCTACTGAGACGTCCCCAACATCTGATGTATGTGTTTGGGATCCCTGCTAAATACCAACACATTCTGACTGACAGTTGATGCTTCATGCATCAGACTTTTCCTCCTTTAAAAGACTGTCTATTAACCATATAAACTAGACATGATATGACAGGCTATGCCTTGACTCCCAATTTCTATAACATCTAGAGATATCTAGTTGTGCTGGTATTGTCTGGCACTAAAGATGTCTCTGTGAAGTTCACAGGTTCTCTCCCAAAAACTCCCATTAGCTAGCCAGCATGCCTTACTTCACTACACTGAAGAAAGGTTTCTCGGTTTGAATTTCAGAAATTCTCCTGTGTAGCTGGCAGGCATACAGCATTACTGGCAGCATGCTGGGAAAAAGATAGAGCTAAATTAAAGGAAAGACTCTTGCTAATTAGGGCCTGGTCCAGCATGGGTGAAACCAGTGGGAGTTGAGGGCATTCAGAACTTCAGAGCTGGCACGCTGCATCTGGCAGGATTTGGCCTACAGAGAGACACTTGAGAGAGGAGCAACAGTAGCAAATAATAAAAAAAAAACCTCACAAGAACTATTTCCATGCTGTCTCTTTCACTTCCTTATTTCACAACAGAGCTTTCAAGGAGTTCTGGGTCATGCTTTAAATGGCCAGTGGTAAAAATCATTGTCAGAAGCAATGTTAGGACTCAGTAGTCCACAGAGGAAAAGGTAAAGGGGGATTTAGAGCCTTTAACACATACAGCAATTCTGCTGCAGGACTTGTAAAGTGGCTCTAGCCTCTATCTATTACATCAGCAAGTTTTCCAAAGGAATGTGAAACTCTGTCTATGTAAATCTTCATTTTGTTCAAACTAACTTGCTAGTGTGTGTGTGTGAGAATGGTAAGCATTCATTATACTGACATGCCGGTGGAACAGGTATTATTCCAAACTGCTTCTTTCCTGCTGTGCAATAAAATTGAGTGCCACAGAGAAATGAGTCCATTTCACATAAACAGCTGAATCAGATCAAAACAAGAACTGCCTCGACAAGCAATTTGTTCCACGGTTGTTTTTCCCCCCTTTCCCAGTTTGATTGCTGCTGCTCAGAGCACAAACAAAAAGGTGTATTGCAGGGCTTCTAGTAGGAGATGAGAGATACTAAAATGGAGGGAGCCTGGGAGATACCACTTTCAATTTCAATTACCAATTGTATTACTGACAGACTAGATTATCCTAACTCTTTGTAAGCTGGTTATATTACTAGGAAAGCAGTAAATGAAGGCAGGCATACAGTACAGGAAGGATGCTAGGATGTATGCAAAATGCCTCCAGCCAGCTTTTAAATACGTAAGGCAAATGTTTGCTCAGAACTTGGAAAATCCCATAGGTATTCTTTTTAAAATGTTCTCTGTGGTTACAATATGTCAATAGCTCCAAGCAGCTGCAGTTAAATACAATTATTTCTTTGAATAAATGAAGTCCTAAATTCACCTGCGGTTCACTCAATTAAATGGGAGATATGATGCATGAAGGAGAACACCCATTCGTATAGTTTTTACAAGTGTATGGGTACAGAAAAGAGATACCTAGGCTGATTTTTCATGTTTTCTTGATAATCTAATAATGAAAAGAAATAAATAGACCTCTTCACCCAAGGTATTATGACCTATACATAATTTTGCATCTATACACATTGAAGATACTAGGTAACTATATATTCTTACAGACCATTATATAGTCAAACCCATGAAACTCGCTATTACCAGATGTGAATAGCTCAATTAGCTTCTGCTATGCTGAAAATCAAAGCTTTGCTATACAGATATTGATCAAATTATACATGGAGGAAAATTTACATGGATGCTTTAAAATGAAATAATCAATTAGGCAAGTGTCATGACAACTGCTCACACACTATGGATTTGATCCAAGGGCCACTGACATCACTAAAACAATTCCTAATGGATTTTGGATCACTGACTGAAACCTCAATCCTGCAAAGATGTAGGTGCACCGTTGTACCCATGCACTACTCATTAGAGGGTCATGGACTAAGTTTATTTTAAAAAGTTTGCTTTAATTGCTTACATTATTAAACAAACAATTCCAAGATCAGTGCCCCCACTATGATATCAAAGACATAACATAATGCCTGCTCCTCCATTCCGAGAACTCTACCTTTCTTCCTGGAGAAACATGTCATACACGTTTACTTAACACATGAACCCCTCCACATTTGTATTGTTTTTTAAAAATGTCCTGATCCTGTTTAAGAGTTATCCAAGGCAGATATTCAGAGGAGTGCTTGCTCCTTCCTCATACATACTCTCTGCTTACTTGTGGTGAGAAATTGGACCAACTCCTGACCTGGCCAGCAATTTAACTTTGTAATCCTGCCCCACCCAAATTCACACAATGCACACTGGCAGCCCTGGCAATGGATAGGCATTCAGAGGTGGGCTTGGGATAGGGCCTGTGTGTTTCAGTGTGTGTCATTCCTTTTTCCTGATCCACCTGCTTCCTCTTTCTTGGATTCTTTCTACTTCTGGAATATGTGGATCAGGTGGCTGTGCAGGTGTGGGTCCCCAAGGTAATGGTACTTTGAGGAAATTATTTGGAGTCTATTTTGGGAACAAGAGAAAAGATGGCACTAATAGGATGCACCGATTCGAATTTATGAAACCACACTGATTTAAACCATAAAAGGCTATAATGTTATAAACATAGAATTATGATTTAAATTTGTTCCAAATCAAGTCAAAAAGTAAAAATCTTGAAACTGTTCATGAACCATAAAGAAAAGATAAAGAAAAGAGAAATTAGTTTAGGTCCACTGATACATTTTTAATTTATTTTTTAACTCTAATTAGTGTAAATTTCTAAAAGAAACGTTGTTTCAAACCAAAAAGCCAGAATTGTTCATTTGCTGAATGTTGAAATGGGATGTTTTGATAATTCTGAAACTTTTTTCTAACATTTTTTTGAGTCAAGAAATTTGTTGGAAACTGACTTTTTGCCACAAAAGATTTCAGTTTTGACTTTGGGACTTTTTAACGAAAAAATATTTGGTTGAAAATTCCTGACCAGTTCTGATGAACAAGTTAACTAGAGCTGAATGAACACTACTTACAGTAATC